GGACGTGGTCCGGCTCCTGGTGACCAGGCACTCCCTGCAGAAAGCGGTCCAGCAGTCGATGCTGTCCCAGCCGTGCCACTGAGCGGGGTGGGATGGGCGAGCGACGGTCTTCAGGACAGGGCGGAGAGAGGTTGAAAGGTGGACCACAGCTCTATCCTTTAAAGAAAAAAAAAAAAAAGACACTTCCCAACACACCTATGCAAAGATGGCTCTCGTCCATCCGGGGGTCCCCACAGAGGGGGCAGTTTGATGCCCACCCGGATGGGAGACCGTGGGCATCAAACCGCAGCTAGGGGAGAACCTGGTCCTGATCCACGGAGAGCACCTTCTGCCCGATAGGGCGGGCTGGGCTTTTCTCCTAGAAATTCTCCAGTGGACGAGTCCGTTCTTAAACTCCGTTTTTGTCAGGCGGCCATTTTGATAGACAAGATGGCCTCCTAGAGTGCTTCTTGCGGTCCTGCTTCTCTAAACCAAAGTTTTTAATGCCGAAAAATCTAGAATCCTGCCCCAGGGCTGCGTTTACAGAGGCACCCAACCGTTGGCTTGTGTCTTCAGATCCTTAGAGGAAGGCCGAGAAGCCGCGATAGATGGGCGTTTGAAATCGGTTCTGCTTTCCAGAAGGGCTTGGCAAGTCCTCCAGTGAAGGCAAACAATTTCGGTGGCCTTAAGCCTTCATTTGCCCGGCCCTCTGCTCAGCCAGAATTCCGGTTAACCATCATTGGCAAAAACGGGCCGACGCTAGCGGCGTCCGCACTCGACGTCCTTGAGCCCGTTCTGTCTGAAGGCCGCGGTTTCCACCCTCGGGTGCGTCTCGACTTTTCCAAAGTTCGCCTCCGATCACGACTGTTGTGCCCAATTTCTCCTTTTGTACGTCTTGTAAATAACGTCCCCTCCGACATTTGTATCACTAACTTATTTCAGTAGATTACTGCTTGTTTTGACTCGTGCGCCGGCTTAACGTCCGGGCCGTTAAATCTCGGCCTGTCTTGTGAAGAAGATGTGTCACAAGACTCACCACTCTTCTTACCGGTTTCTTAATCCCTGTGGTTTGTTCTTTCGGAGCGGAAACGGCGGCGGGAAAGGACGGCCTTTTTTCGACAAAGCCTTTTGTGGTTTGTTATTTTTTTTCTTCCGCCTGATCGCATCGGTTTAGTTCGGAGGTTAAAGCTGCCAACTTGCTGGTGTGGATTGTTTTACACAAAATAAAATCAAGCTGGACTTCTGATCTCAAGTGTCTCTTCCTTTTTTTAAAAAAGTAATAACAATAATTAAGCTAGAAGCCTGGAGCCAATAGAAAAATTGCATATATGCCCAAGAAGATTAATGAGAAATGGCTTATTCTGTGGAAACATTGTAGAAGTACAAATAGTTCTTGACTTACAACCATTTCTTAATAATAATAATAATAATAGTAATAATGGAAGGGATCTTGGAGGTCATCTAGTCCAACCCCCTGCTCAGGCAGGAAACCCTATACTAGTGATGGCGAACCTTTTAGAGACCAAGTGCCCAAAATGCAACCCAAAACCCACTTTTGCATCGTCGGGTGCTGGGTGGGCGTGGCCCATTGGGTGGGTGTGGCCCATTGGGTGGGCGTGGATGCGGTGGTAACGGCAGACTGGGTGGGACTAAAAAGTTCAATCAATTCCAACTTTGCAAGATCTTTTTTTCCCACGAGAAGTTGAAATTGACTGATTAAACCTTTTTTTTTTTTTTTTGCACACAGCGGCGGAGGCCTAAAGCGAAAAGGTTTTATAAAACCCAGCTGAAGGCCTAGGACTGGGGCGACAACATTCGTGCCCACAGAGAGGGCTCTGAGTGCCGCCTCTGAGACCCGTGCCATAGGTTCGCAACCACTGCCCTATCCCATTTCGGACAAATGGCTGGCCAGTCTCTTCTTAAAAACCTCCAGTGTTGGAGCATTCACCGCTTCTGGAGGCAGGTGGTTCCATTTGTTAATTGTCCTCACTGTCAGGAAGTTTCTCCTTAGTTCTAGGTTGCTTCTCTCTTTGGTTAGTTACCATCCGTTGCCTCTTGTCCTGCCTATTCTGGGGAGGGTGGGAAGGGACAGGAGAAGCCCCCTCCCCTTTCAGAACAAAGATGACACCTGAGCTGACCAGCAGAATGGCCGAGAATTCTGCCAGCCGGATGTTTGGGGAATCTCGTTTGAGTCTTAACTGGGAGGACGTTTCCCTAGAACGGCGGCGAACGTATGAGGAGGTGATAAGCCGCCTGGGAAAGCCAAGGGAAATCATCAAATCATCAATTAAAAAATGAAAATTAGAATATTTCAGACATGCGATGCGACACCCAGAAAAATATAGCATACTCCATTTAATCCTCCAGGGCAGTGGTGGCGAACCTATGGCACGGGTGCCAGAGCCCTCTCTGTGGGCACGCGTGCCGTCACCCCAGTCCTAGGCCTCCACCCACCCACCCATCCATCCACCCGCCAACCCATCCATCTACTCACCAACCCATCCATCCACCAACCATCCATCCACCCACCAAGCCATCCACCAACCAACAATCCATCCACCCACCCACCAACCAACCATCCACTCACCAACCCATCCATCCATCCACCCACCCACCAACCAACCATCCACTCACCCACCCATCCACCCACCAACCATCTACCTACCCACCCACCAACCCACCCATCCACCCATCCACTCACCAACCCATCTATCCATCCACTCACCAACCCATCCATCCACCCACCAACCCATCCACCTACCCACCCACCAACCAACCATCCACCCATCCACTCACCAACCCATCTATCCATCCACTCACCAACCCATCCATCCACCCACCCACCAACCATCCATCCACCAACCCATCCACCTATCCACCCACCAACCCATCCATCCCACTCACCAACCAACCATCCACCAACCCATCCACCCACCCACCTATCCATCCACTCACCAACCCATCCACCCACCAACCATCCACCCACCCACCAACCATCCACCACCCATCCATCCACTCACCAACCCATCCATCCACCCACCCACCCACCCACCATCCACTCACCAACCCACTCATCCACCCACCAATCCATCCATCCACCCATCCACTCACCAACCCATCTATCCATCCACCCATCAACCCATCCATCCACCCATCCATCCACCCACCAATCCATATCTGTCCTCCTCCTCCTCCTCCTCCATCTATCCAACAGCCTATTCTCACCAACAGGGCAAATCTATAAACCGCAAAACCTCTAGCACTGATGGTGTTACCTAGTTGGGTCATGAAACGTCTGCAAGAAAACCACCCAGTTCAGAGAGCAGTAAGGACCCCACAAATAGCAAAAGTGTCCTTCGGAGCAGATCCCTGTGTCTTCAATCCCGGTTAGGTCAAGAGGGTCTTAACTGAAACCCAACAACAGGGTTGTCACGGTTACAGATGGGGCTCTGCAATTCCCTTCCGGAGGGACCCACAACCTCACTCAGCTTTTCCTGAACCCCTTCAAACCTCACTCGGGTTTCCCGATCCCCTTCAAACCACAACCAGACCACCTCTCCTTTCAAAAGGAGCCTTCGTCAATCAACCACGTGTTAAAGAGCTGTTACACAATCTTTAATAATACCAATCCCTGAATTCAGCCATTTCACATAGAGGTTCTTAAGTGCCTTGTTCTTTGACACCAATGTAAAGCTTTTCGAGGTAGTCCCACATCCTCCATCCACTTCTCTCCCCCCCCCCCGTTCAAGGGGGTCCTGAAGTCACACGAGATGTCCTTCAGGTTTAACTGATTGACAGATGACAACCGTTTTTCTCTTCCTCGTAACCAGCCTTCTCCTCAAGCATGTTCTTGCTGGCTAAGATGCCTTCAATGTAGGATTCCTGTCGCACCTCTGTTAAGAAATCGGATGGCAAAAGAGGAGCATTTATTCTTCTGCGGACCATGACTTCCCCGGAAGCTTTTTTTGAGGACTTCACACCTGAGGAATTCAGGGGAAGATGACTATGGCAAGGCCGCACTGCCGGATTGCAAGATGCGAAGGCACAACGTGGAAAAGGAGTTTTGGTGCAATTAAGGTGGCGCGGAAACTCGAGTTGTAGCAATTTTGCCAGTCTTGGTTTTCTTTGGAATAAAGCTTCCCGATGCAGCGGGCACCCTCGGGACAGGCTACTGAGCTATTCAAACTGCTCGTAAACGGTGCGATACAAGCAGTAATGTTGGATCATAAAGACAATGTCGAAGATGATGGAGAAGAGGCCGAGGCCAAACTTGGTGGGGTCTCCAAAAATCAGCTTCCATTCGTCTGAAGGAGAAGAAGAAGAAAGAGACAATGAGAGCTTACAAGAAGCGGTCGAGTTGACAGACAGAGGCTAATAAATACTTGGAAAAGCATAAATAGATTTCCCCCCTATTTATAATTCACAGTGCAATGAAAATTTTGGGCATTTTCCTGAAGAGTCTGTACAATTTTGTATGGGGAATTGCTCAGCAGGTGTCCAAATGAAGTGAGAGATGCTGACATGAACTTGTAGTTTTATATTTTATATTTTATATTATATTTTATATTATATTTTATGTTTTACATCTGCATATACAGAAAACTAGATAGTCAGGGGCATTGTGAGGTAAATCAACACAGGAGGAGCATCATGAGGTAAATCACAGCACAAAAGAGAGTGCAGAAGAAAAAGGTGGGAAAAAAGGGAAACTCCCCCTTCACTCCCACAGCAACCAATCACAGCACAAATTACCTCATACAGGAGCCAGCACTCTCCAACCAATCAACTACACGATGCAAATGTTAAGCTAACTAAGTTCACTAAGACAGTTGTTCTCCATTGATAACAGAAGGATAGGAGATAACTTGAGATCTATTAGATTATTAGCTATGAATATGTGTGAATCCATCGTTTTTCTCTCCTTTTCAAAATGGATAAACATAAAAGTGCATCTCTTTGCCTCAGGGATATGTCTCCCATCATACTTTCAGAAGGGACCCTCTCCAGTCTCTAAACCAGACATGTCAAACTCACGATGTCACGTGACGTCACACAATGTATCGGAGCTTTTTTGCCATTGCCGGCAACGGGGTGGGCGCGGCTCCGGTATGATGAAACCGGCCCGTGGGCCAGCAGTTTGACACCCCTGCTCTAAACTGTCAGGGAATTGCTCAGCCGGTGTCCAAATGCAGTTAGAGACACTGACACAAACTTGTAGCTTTATATAAATAAATATGTTTTACATCTACATATACAGCAAACTAGATAGGCAAACAGGAGCATCATGAGGTAAATCACAGAGCACACAGAAGAAAAAGGCGGGAAAAAAGGGAAACTCCCCCTCCACATCCACAGCAACCAATCACAGAACAGATTGCCTCGTGTAGGCGCCAGCACTCTCCAAACAACCACAACTGCGGTCACTGCACAGCCCCACTGCTCCAACTGCTAAATTATTAAATATCTTAACACATTTCTACTGCTTTCCTGAGGAATTTACAAGCAAGATTAATCCATCACCGAAGAGTGCAGATGGTCCTCAACTTACAATCGCAATTGAGGCCAGAATTTTCATGGTTAAGCAAGGTGGTTGTTAGGCTACAAAAGCACTGAAAAAAGTGACCTACATCTGGTCCTCACACTTACAACTGCCACTGCCTCCCCACAGACACATGATCAAAAGTCAGTTGTTCAGCAACTGACATGTATTTCTGATGGTTGCGGTGTCACGTGATCCCCATTTGCGACCCTCCCAGTTGGCATACGACAAACAAAGTCAATGGAGAAAAAGCCAGATTCGCTTAAAGACCCTGTGATTCACTTAACGACTGCAGTGATCTGCTTAGCAGCAGTGGCAAAAAAAGTCGTAAAATTGGGCACGCCATGCTTAGTAATGCAATTTCTGGTCCCAATTGAGATTGTAAGTTAAGAATTACCTTTAGCTATGCAGTGAAGAGGGATTATGGATAGCTCCTGAGGGATGCATACTAGACCCACAAAGTATAAGTAGTCCTTGATTTACAACCATTTCTGAAAAAAAGTGACTTACGACCGGTTTTCTCACTTATGACCATTGCAGCATCCTCATGATCAAGCGATCAAAATTCGGATGTTTGGCAAACTGGCATGTACTTATGACGGTTGCAGTGTCCTGGGATCATGTGATCCCCTCTTGTGACCTGACAAGCAAAGTCAATGGGGAAAGCCAGATTTGCTTAACGACCGCATGATTCACTTAACCACAGT